CGCCCACTTTGCCCATGTATCCACCATCAAGAGTAAACAGTCTCCTTGCCATCCATGTAAGAAAAGATCACATTGAATCGTTGGGATTTCACGTTGCGCATTTCTTCCATCTTCTGAGGAACTTTCTTGTCACCTTTTGCTTTGCCAGCAATGCAATGGGGACACCATGCCCTGTAGGGTAGATGCGTCACTTCATGTAACGCACGTTCTCGAGCTGTTGGTTGGTAGCGTCTGCATAATTTGTTCACGCACCGCCCCGCTTCAACTGATCGTCTCCTCCATGATTCGAGGCATGTCTCTCTTCTTTGTTCCAGAAGAACTCACCATTAAGAATGTTGCAGCTGCCCTCAAACTCTTCACTGAGCTGTTTTCCGTCGCGATAAGGTCACCAATCTCCAGGCGTTCATCTTCACCAGGAATGGCAATCAACTCTGGCGCAACTGCATGTTCAGGGATGTCTTCACCTTTGATGTCGAATCCACCTCTGGCCCGTCAGGCTCATAGACATTCTCAATGATCTCACCTCCACTGTCAAGAAGGTTGCCAAATACTTCAAGACTTTCATCTTTGTCCCAAGATTAGGCACTGTTCACCTTGTCGATAGCAGTCGATGTCAGGGCTTCTGGAAAATGACTGCTCCAAATCAAGATATCGATTTGAAGCTTCTACGAGGCACCGTTCATTCTTGTCTTCCTCCAGCGCTCTCTTGATAAGGTTGTCCTGTAGGCGTAATGCGCAGGAATAGTATTAATAGCTGGTCGAGGATCAACACATCCAGTAACATCTCCCAGACACCATAACGTTTGTCACTCTTGTATTGTTCATGCACTTTCACCAGTGCACGGATGATATGAGGGTTCTCTTCATCCACGGCCCCAATTCGAAGAACTCCAGCTTTAATGGCCAAAGAGCTGCGCTCGTACATAACGGGAAGTTGAAGTGCGCAGTCAGGGGATACATCTCGTCGTTGCCAGCATTGCGAACCTGCCAACCATTTCTGTAGAGCTCACCAAGACTGACGATACAAGTCTTCACATCCCCAACCACGAGCTTGTGTTCCAACTCTTCTTCTGTCCCATCACGATCTGTCACAATCAATGGTGCTTTCCTAGTGCCACGCGCTGCCAATCATCCACCTTGGCAATCTTGTAGGTGTAGGTGTTCACCTCCTTCATCAACATGTTCTCCAAATGCCACAGGTAAAAGGGAAACATCAGATCAATCCAAGATCACTACATTGTCAGCCTTTTAGGTGGTATGTTGAGGTACCACCTTCAACCTTTCGCTTATCACCCTGACACATCCACTCGAAGAGGAAGATGGTGTGCCGATCTGAAAAATTATCCGAACTGCCCTGGTCTTGGTTGACCTTCTGTGGGCATTCATTCGACTAATGTCCAGAACCATGGCATATTTTGCACTGTTGTGTTGCGGATCAAGGCCCTTACCTTTGCCTTGTTCTCCGTTGTTCTTTCCTTTGCCCTTCTGTTTGCCTATATTCTTGCCTTCGCTTTTGCCTTACTCTTGCCTTTCAATCCTCCTTTTCCACGACCATAGGGTTGCCACGGAATCCAGCCACCATGTTTGCCTTTGTTCTTTCCTTTACCTTTGCCTTTGTAATCTTCACTCTGGTTGACTGAATCCACCTCCATTGGTTGTGGTCCATTCGGATCATGAGGCTTAATCTCTAAGGACAGAATGCTCTGTTTGATCTCGCTGTAGGTGGTCTTATCACTAATGGTCACCTGCAAACGGTCTGTCTTCAACTCATCAGGATGCTTGCTGGGTGAAACCGTCTCAAACTCTTCAACAACACGCTCAAACGCAAGAACGTTCTCCATGGCGGTCTTGTCCTTTGCAAACGGAGGATATGAAGAAAGAGCTTGCGCCAACGCCAAACTCCTGCCTCGAGTAGGAAGGTACTCTTGATGCAAAGCACGCCAAAGTTACCATCACGCTCTCACGCACTTGCCCTTGAGATAGCTCAGATGCTAAAGAATCGAATACTGAATTCTTTCTTGTCTGTAGAGTAGGTGCTCATGTCAGGTTCCTTATCCAGCTTCTGGATGTGTTCCAGCATCGGTTGATTCTTAGGTTCACCACAGCTCAGCCAACTGACAAAGTTGAATTTCCGCGAATTGAATTGCGCTGGATCTTCTCCGCTAAAAGGATCCGGGTTCCTGAGGATCTTCGCCGCCGCCTGTAGACCTGATGGGCCTTTGCCACCAAGTGCGTTCAAGGCTTTCTCGGCCGCCGCTGCCGACCTGTTGCTGCTTCTGCTAGCTTGCTCATCTGGTCAAGCATGTATAAACTCAGAGGCAAAATGATCCTCACCTGTTGTCTGGCTTCAATCGTTTCACACTCTGCCTCTTCCTCAATGTCCTGTTCAATGAGGTTGAGGTCAAGCTCAAGTGGCTCACTAACATGCATAGCCAGCCGCAATGCCACCAGCCACCAAATCCACAATTCACCAAGCGTCGCGTTCTCCAAGACTTCTGCCATAGCCCTTGCAAGCGCCGATGCCGCCTTCATCACGAGGACGTTCCATTCCGTTGCCACGCACCTGAACTTGTACACTGCCAAGTCCATCAACGCCAAGATCCTGTTCGAAACTGCCAGGATCGATGTCATGTGCACTCCATCGTAGCACTTGTTCATGAATGCCAAGCACATATCCGGATTCTTGGTGTCCTGAATCATGCTCTGCTCATCCATGTTCTGGTCAAAGATCTCTTCAAAGAATGCTAGACACATATCCTTGGCAATGGTGATGATCTGCTTGTCCTTATTGTTCATCAAATAGTCCATTGCCGCCGACCTCATTCGTTCTCTCGCCATGCCATTCAGGTTGGAATGCCGTGAACATAGGGGTCATTGCTCTTGCTTCATGACTCACACTGCTCCTCCATTCTTGCACTTCACTCTCCATCCAAAACCACGTACTCAACTGCCGTGATCCAAGGGCCCCATCCCCGAATGCTGGCAATCTGACGACATCTACCTGGAGCGGGAGTGCAAATTGACCTTCCCTCGTCGAGTCATCGCCACAGCCTGGAGTCGTGATCTTCATATTGATCATCAGCCCATCGAGGAGGTACGTCTGATCAACGTCTTGAGTCGGAAGCAGGAGAACTGGACGGTCCGGTTGGTGGCCAATGGTCGCTTCGTCCAATTTGAAGGCTTCCGGAATCGACAGGAAGCTTAAATCATGGGCACACCAATTCGCTGGACTCACAGAGATCCGGGATCTCAAGGAGGTGATCACGCTTGCGGAGGTGCTCGACTCGATCAATCGCAAGGAGATCTCATGAGCTTTAGACATCCTATGTCAACGAATCATAGCCATCCAATCGGCCAAGCAGAAAGGAGGCTCGTGGGAAAAAGCGGAAGCAGTCGAACTCATCGACACCCGGAAGTCTCTAGCCAGCTGGCCCTCACGAACTCCTGAGTGTTGGACTGCGAAAGGCCTGGCATCGGCGAGGTGGCCGTTTTGATTCACAGATGCCGTTTGATTCCTTCTATGGGGTGGCTGTTGGGGCACTAACAGAGACCTTACAGAGGGGACGAGATGATGCTGGTTTCTGTGATACATTGCGTGTCATGTTGTCGAAGACGGGCCGTGGCAAGTGCATGCATGAATTCAGCAAACAGCAAAAAGATCATGACTTGGAGAGGGGCTCATCGCCAGCCAATGTTTTTCCTTTGCCTTCGCTGCCCGTCGATTTCAATTTTTCTGGAGCGACGGAGTCGGTGCGTGTTGAGGGATTGCGTTCAGGTGTGAACCTCGTACTCCTGGCTCTGAACTGGCTGCGTGGGGGTCGTGTCAATCTTGTTTCGAACATCGTCACGGCAGCCCGCAGGCGCATCATCGCGCAGGTGGAGTATGCGCTCAAGGCTCTGGTGTTGACAGATGAGCCTACGATGGGGCCACAGGGGCTCGATCATTTTTTGAGGCAGACGCAGCTCTACACGGCTCAGGTGTGGTGTTGGCTCTGGGTGTGAAGGGCGGGGTCCCTGAGACAGCAGCTGATGTTCCACTAGCTGATCACCTTCAGGGGCATTTTCCAGTGATGGCGAAGCAGGTGCTCTTTCCTGGGCAGTTGCTGTTTGTCTCGTAAGATCTTCAAGAGCACTGACGTGGACATCGCCCGGATCATTGGTCATCTTCATCCTCCTGCCCTTAAGGATGATTGGGATGAGAAGCGCAAGGGCTTGGACCCCTGTGTCTCCACTCTGACTCCAACACGTTCGAAACTGCCGTGATCGCCCATTTCCACGGTACTTCCTTGTTTTCCTTTCTCAGGCCATTCTGTCGAATTCACGCCGAAGGGATCCACTGGCGTGTGCAGAGCGCCGTGTTCACAGGACTGGGCATTCAGGTGGTTATCCACCATGGCGTACCCTGCCACCATGGTACCACTTATGGTGAGCGCCGTCGTGAGCCATGACAGCATCATTGCGCCCGGTGGAGGCTGAAAGGTCGCGCTATTTTGCGTCACGAATCGCTTGAGCCACTAGGGCAGTTGTGTATATACTGTCTTCATGCAGGGGTCATGTTCATACTGCTAATGATTGACAACAAATTATATATTATCTATTTTTTGAAGAGAGGTGTAGGAAATTATGCTGGTCGGTTATTCACATCGCGGAAAAGCTTTGGGCATGTTGAGACAAATCAACTTTCAATCCGTCTCTGAGAACAAAGCAAAATCTTACAAAATGCTCAGTCTCAGAACAAACTTGGTGTCTTTCTCATAAGTGAACCGACTGCAAGTTACTGTCTTCCCAAATCATTGAGCAGTCTATTGGTGCTACCTTGTGGTACCACCTTGCCCCAAAAGCGCTGCGTGGTGAATATTTCCAAGACATGAGTTCTCGCGGTACGAGAAAAACACATTCCAAAACTCCAAAAAAACCCAAAACCGCCCGATTTTGGGCGCCCTGCAAGCCCACAAGAATGGCAATAACCGACAAAAGTCAAAGAAAAAGGTGTCACTCGCCTGACCAATCTCTTCGACCACAGCTCCAGGTATGCCAATGGCTTGTCGTTCGTCTTCTCGGATCGTGTGTGTAGCTGAAGTGTGGTCTAGGCTCTTGTCTGGGCACTTGGGGCTCGTGGGCTCTTCCAAATACTTGAGGTCTTGGGTGATGGGTGGTTTCGGCGACGAAGTGACATCCTAGGAGGCGCGTCATAAGCACGGTTGATTGCAAATCAGGAAGCTGTCGAACGTTTGAACGTTTGCACTCATATATATATATAACATATATATATATATATGTCATTGCACTCGCGCGACAGGCGCCTTTTCAGGGGTTGCGCAAGGAGAGTCTCTGCCGTGACTAGCCACTGATTGCTTTTCAACCAGTGGATCTACCATGGACATCACGCATGACTCAAACCCCCCTTACTCATTTCTAAGGAGGGTATCATGTGTGACCTCACTTCTTCTTCCCCCACTTTAGCTAGAAGGGAGGTCTGCACTACCAAACCCTTCTAGGTTCTTTGAACACTCCTACGGTGGCAAACCTCAGTTTCGACTTTTAAGACCCGTCAGTCCTCACCATGGATCTTTCCACCGCATCTCGCCCTTCTTGGTCTTGCCGCCCGCAGCCGCCGAGACCTCCTTCAGCTGCGCCAGCTTCGCCTCTCTGGACGTCTTATGCAGACGCAGCTCCGAGTCCAGCTCGCCGGGCCTGCTCATCACTTGAAATGGCAACTCTTCAAATACCACCTCAAGCCTGTTCTTCTCATCGAAGTCCTCGAAGCGGTCATTGGTCAAGTCATCAGCGGGTTGGTTTTGTGCCCTTGGGACCCATTGAAGTTGCAGATCGATGCCTAGCATGGCCAACTGAACCGCCAGCTCCATCGCCACAATCGACAGCGGGTATTTGCTCGACCCATACCTCTTCAACACATGGGTGTTGGCCAGGTTGTCCGTGAGGGCGGTGAGGGTGACCGCAGCGCTGCCAGCCGGTGAAGAAGAACCCGGTTGTAAGACCATCACCGCGACCAGCACTCCGATGAGATCCAAAGTGGCAATGTTCCTGAACGGGTCTCCCTTCAGGTATGCCCACAGCGCCGTCTTTCGGCTCAAACGAAAAGAGAACCATCGCGCCCTCTTCTGATCGGGCTCAAGCCCGGACTCCCAGCCTCCGATGACGATGTCCTCGCCAGCGGCCTTGGCATCCACCCGGAACACGTCCACCGGGTCCCTTTCCAGCGGCTCAGCAGGCCTCATAGGCCGCCTGTTCACTTCTTCCCGGACAAACTCCAGAAGGATGACCACAGCGTCCGGAAAGCTTGCAAAGGTTCCCGGTGCCATAGTCGATGCCCACGAAAACAATGGTGCCAAGAAAGGTCTCACATGGCGTAGTGCCCCCGCGACAAAGCTCAATCGGCCCAACACCGACCTCAGTTCTCGGCCCACCACGCCTCCAAGTTGGAGCTTCTTGTCGATCCAGTCCACGATCCATTTGCGCTTGGATTCGTTGATGCCCTTCTGGAAGGTGTGGACGTTCAAGCAATATCCAATCCAGTTCAGTTCCGTTCCTCCCCGAACTTTCGACCACGTCACCGGTATCTCGAGGAGCTCGAAGACGAAGAACCACATCAGCACCTTCTTCCAGAAGTCTCTCCCCAGAGCGGTCAACCAGCCGTCATCGGCATATTTGAGGTGCAACAGCCCGTGCAGTCTGCCCAACAGCCGATGGCCGCATCTAACCGCCACTGGTGCCACGAGTGCGGACGAAGATATCGCCCGATTTGTCACCAGGCAGACGAAATGCCTGCAGGCCCCAGTCTCTCTCGTCCACCGGTATCAGTTTGTGGGCTCGCGCGATGTCATACAGCACCGAAAAGCGTACTCCACCTCGAGCGTTCGATAGCTCCGCAATGGCCGTGGCATCGTCGATGAGGGGAAGCGCATCTTGTCTCGCACCCGTATCCTCCTGTTGACATCCACACTATAGGTTCCGTCATGTATCAAACGGACCTTCTTGGTGCCCAACTCTTTCGGGACAGCGCCCAACGCTGCCACTGCCAGCCTTCCTTTGAACCTCCGCTTGGCCTCATGCTCCATCATGCGGACAATGGTGGGGGGGGTGAACCTCCTGGAGGACCTGCTTCTCGATCTCCTCGGCGTTCTCCTCGGCGGACTCATAGTTGTCTGCCAAAATATCTCTCATCACCTCGTCGGTCGCATCCACCGTCCATTTGGTCTTCTCCTCGTACACCAAAGGCGTACGGGGCATCTCCATGCCCACCCCTAGTCTGACTCTGCTAGATGCCACCTCCTCCAAGAACATGTAGTCCTCGTCCTCCATTGCCTCCGCCAGCGCCGACAGCCGTCTGAAGCAGATCTCTGTCTCCCTGTCCGTTGACCTGCGGCAAGGATCTAACCCCCATCTGGCCAGGTGCTCGTCGAGGGATCTTCGAGCCACCTCAACCTCTCGTCCAAAGGGCGATTTGCGCACCTTCCCTGCCGCCATGGACCAAAATATGTGCTTGGCCTCCTCTTCTCCAACAGCCTCCAACCACGCTCCAAAGGCCTTCTCGAACCATGCCCGTGGAGGTCTCCCTCTCCGTGCTCGGCAGCCTTCTTCTGTCGACCGGCCACCTGCCAGGCGAGCAAAGCCCTGCTCCATCATGTAGTGCTCGAGTTTCGCCCTTGTAGCTCACCTGCATGGGGCCCATCGCTGGCTTCCTCGCTGTTTTCTCCTGTGTCACCAATCGCGCCTTCTTCTCCTCTCGGCCCTCTTGATCAGGTTGGAGCCTCTTCGAACCCTGTTCTTGCCGAGGTCGTTCAGGTCTCTGCTGAGGTTGCTCCTCTCTGCCTTCCCCCAGTTTAGCCATCAAGAGAGGAGCTGTTGACCAGTGACGAAAGATGGCTTTCGCTAGTGCCTGATCCATAGCTTCTGGATAGGCTGATGTGGCGGATGTGCGAAAGCTGTTATCTGCAGTGGCAGTTCGCGCCAGAGTGATGGCAGGTTGACACTGGCACTGCAAAATAGGGCCCACATAGTTGCAATGCCCATCAAATTGCGGCCACTGGCAGGATCCCCAGGTTGCCAGTTCTTGGATATTGGCCAGCAGCCGAGTTGGCTTACGGTATGGCGCTCCCCAGCAGCATTGGTTGAAGACCACTGTGAAGAGCTTCAGTGGGGAATCCACTCGGACCATAGCCCGGAGCCGCTCTAACTGCCAAATGGAAGCTGGTTCCACGCGCCCCAAGATCTTCTGGGTGTTCAGCGAACAATAGAACCATGTAGCCAGCTGCGGAGACCGGGTGTCGATCCAGCGCCTAGACAATAAGAACATTGCCCAGCTCTGCATCCTTGAGGTGTCTAGCTGAAAGCCACGGGAATCCCCATGGATAGCCCTGTGAGCGTATGGCCGGTGGGCCTCTGCAGTTTGCTCCTCGCACCCTGCTCCAGGTCGAACAGGGAGGTGTAATCAGCACAATGTCAAACTCTCCTGCCATGATGCGCTGTAGCAACGATTGCTGCAGTGCCCCCTTTGTAAGGTCCCACTCCGGGGAGTTCTGAATGTCAACTTCATGCACTATACATTGAATACCTGCTTGGCGACATAGCCGTGCCAGAACTGAAGTCACCGAAGACTTGCGCTGCGCCCCAGTGAAGAGGTACAGCGCATTCATAGATCTCTCCTGACGTGCGCCCCTCGTTGTGCCCTGCTCATCTGGTGGACCCGGGGCTGGATCCACCTTCTCGCCATGTCAAGTTGGCTTGCCGCCGCCCTCTGCGGCTCCCCCAGTGGTGTCCTTCGAGCGGCCACTGTTGTCGCAAGCGTGCGTAGGATGTTGGCACACGTGCAGCCGCCCACAGTTGTAGCGGCATCGCTCCCTGGGGTTGTTCCATCGCCAGCAAATTTGGCGACCATCTGGCGTGCGGTCGTGAAGTTGTCTTCCTCCTTTCTTGCCTTTGCTCTTTCCACCACCCTTTCGGAATTTGCCTTTCCCTTTCTCATAGTCTCGGCCCCTCTCATTCTGCCATCCTCTCTCGCCGGCTGGACTCCTCGACCTCCAAGGCGGGGGCCTCTGATGCCCGCTGGCCACCTGCGAGTACACATTCGGTGTGAGGAAGTACCTTTCCTTGACGGTGGTGTCCGTCATTCAATGCCTCGTGCAAGAGGCGCCCTTCGTTTGCTTGCTTGACCATCGCACGCCTCACCTGGAAGTCATAGGAGAGCATCAAATCGAAGTCAGGTGAAGCCACTGTCTCCCCATCCTGGTTCTTCGCCTTCAATCCAAGTACGTGTTCACCTAGCATCAAGTCCAAATTCTTGAGAAAGCGGATGGGCTGTAGGTCACGTAGTATCGCCTTCTGCGGGAACTTGAGCTGTGCCAGGAGATAGGAGTGTGAGACCACCGCCATGCGTCGAAAAAACTCCTCGGGCGTTCTGGGCTTTGGACACTCCCCAAACCCCTTCTTCACCTTGAGCGCACCAGTGCCCTTCTCGATGGTCGCACCCAGCACATCTGCCTCGGCGTCCTCCCTGCTCACAAACTGTGCCAGGCTCATGTTCTTCAGCTCGCCCTGCTCCACCTGGTCAAAGATTTGCTCCAATGTTGACGCCGCAGGTTTGCTTCTATCTTCCAGCTTCAAGCCATGCACCGCTTCGAACTTTACGAGGAGGTCCTGAATCTCCACCTTGGCTAGCCAGACCCGCTTCTGCCTCGGCTTTGTGCCGCACCGCCATGCGTGTAGTCGAAGACTCCCACGAATCCACCAGCGATGCGATGTCAATCACATCCGTTCCCTCATCCAGGCTCAACACATCGGTGCAGAACTTTCTCACGCCTGCCCTGTTGTCCGCGGCTGATCGTCCGCACCTTCGCCACAGAGAGCTTTGCTTGCAACGTCTCATTGACCTCCTTGATCTGAAGCAGCCCGTGCAAGTCTGCGTCCAGCAGCGAGATGGCATTCGCTCGTCGGACCGGAGTGTCATGGCCTATGTCTAGCGCTCCTGCCGCGCCAGCGCCAGCCCCAGCTGCCCCAGCCATGTGCTTCTCGCGAGGGCTGTCGCGCTTCCCCCCGCGAGGTCACGAAAACCCCTTCGGGTCCCGCCCGAGGTGCCTGGAGCCCCAGGCTGTTCCATGCAATGAAGTTGCCTGGCAAGGTGAAAACGATCGAAGCTCGACAAAGTGCAAACACATGCAATGCAAGCCAACAATCCGAAAACCAATCAACTCAAAACAATTTCGAGCCCTTCCTCTGCCTGCCTTGACTTACCTTAAACCTTTGCCCATGTGCAGCGCTCCCTACTCAACCTCTTGCCGCACACCTTCTCTCGTGCAGTTTTGTCCCGCTCAATGTGGGTGTCCGTATTCACTCACGATGTGGCCTCCACTTCCGACTCCTCCGAATCGGACGATGTCACTTCTCCAGAGCTCTCTTCCTCCGGAGAATTCATTGCCACAGCAGCATCTTTGCCGAAGCAATTTCTGCAAGCCCGATGGTACTGAGTTGCATCGGGAGGTTCATCTCCCAGTACCTCAAATTGAGAGTAGTGTACACCGGGTTGCCTATATGGCATTCCCCAACTCTATGCAAGGTCCTTGTTCGAGACCTGCCGACTATCGAAACCACGAACCTGCCGGCCACATTCTCGGCCTGCACCACGGTGCCCTCACGGCCCGCATCGATCTCCTCCTCCGACCCAAAGCCACCCGTGCCGGTGTCATTCTCAGCGTCCTTGCATGTCCGACCCTTCGTCGGGTTCTATCAACACCACTGGCCCTGAAGGCGTCCACTTGGGCCTCCACGATGCCTCCACAGCCACCTCCTCAGGATCGAACCTCTCCACCATCTGCATCTGCACCTCCATGGCTTTTCCTTTGTTGTCTCTCCGGAAGGCTGCAATGATCTTCTGGGCTCGAAGGATGTTCGCTCGCATAGCCTTCATTGGCTGCGGGTCGCCTGCAGCGACCCATTTACCGACGA